GTATGCGTATGAAAATCTGATCAGTGTAAAAATAGAGTGTGTGGCTGTGTGTGTAGTTACATCTGTGCGTGTGTTAGTTCACGCAAAGTACAAACCTTTCCATGTTTCAGACAGCTCTTTTGTTAAGGGACTTTCCTTTCTTCATCTTTTGAGGTCTTTCCTGTATTTGACACTCACCACTGCCAAATCCTTAGCTAGAACTTCTGTTCAGAGTAAACTTCTCCATCTGGCACTAGATTCCAACAAAAGCTGTGATTGATTCCCTAACACTAATGCCTTTAATTATTCCAAAACTCAGGTCTGGAGAGGATAACTTGTGGGCAGGTCTATACAGCTAAATACCTTACTTGAGCATAGGCCATCAAAAGCTATATCCTAGATGATGTCAATTTATTTAGAATTAGGAGAGACTTAATTTTAATTAAGAACTTCAGTTCACAAATATTTGATACGATTCTTATTTCCAGGGCCCTGTCAATAAAAGTTTCCATAAATGGACAGAGCTACAACCAGAGCCAGGCACAAGCTACACTCCCAGAGTACAATAGAAGAATGGTCAAACTTTTGTGCTTGAGGTTTTTGTAGGCCAACCACAATGCTTTCCTGGAAACTGGTGAACCAAGGACTTTATTTTCCCTTTTCTCTTTTTTTTTCTCCATTTTCCAATCTACTCACAGCTATTGTAAAAAACCCTAAAAATGTCAGCATAATAATGAAACACATTTCAGTCAAAGTTTTCATGGCTTTCTTCCTTTCATATTGTTTGATTTAATTGTTTTAGACTTTAAGAATATTAGTGAGGATTATTTCAAATATCTATTTTTACATTAAGAATGATTCACAATACGGAAAGCCCTTACTATTAGCATTATTCATAGCTTCTTAATAACTGGAGTTACCACTTGCCTTGAAACTCCACCCATTCCCTCCTTGGCTTGGCTTGGAATGCAATTAACTGTATTTCAGACATCATGACATTGCTTTCAGATTGAATTGTTACATCAATCATCACACAGTAAGACAAGTTACTGCTGCAAATTCAAGATGTAGAACTATTAGTGATATAAATGGGAGCAGAGTGGAACAGAGGTTCATTAATTAGAAAGGAGAAAAGCAGAAATAAATTTGTATCTAAATAAAGAGACCTCAGAATGAGATAAAAATGTCAATCATGTCACTATTTCCAAGAATAAAATATTTCTCATTTGTTATTAAAACATTTTAAATAAAAGATCTATTAGAAAAGGTTCTATTTGCAAAATAAAAGAGAATGTTTTATTTTAGACAAAAAAAAAGAACTTGAATGACCTTAATCTTCACCAAGAAAATAAAAAATTAATCTTTTCTTGACACAAATGAACCTTCTGGTATTTTTTTTCCTTCAGTTTAGCCACAGAATCACAGAAAAAATAATCAGTTTGTCACAAAGCTCCACGTAGAAGACTCCCTACTGCTGTTTGTAAGTTTTTTGAAAGCTTAGTTCTTACCCACTTTTGTAAAATATTTTGGGATACTCAGCTCAAAGGCATTGCATAATTGCAAAGCATTACTGTGTTTATGCTGTTACCCTCAGGATATAAAACATAGGAAATTTTTGTGGCCTATGATTTCACTCTATATACTGGTCTACCTTAGCTATTTCTATTGTTGTTTGCAGCTGTAGGAACTGGAGCACAGTTGTATTTTTTTAAAGATGAAAACTGCTAAATATTTCACTTTGAGGGACCTTTCTCAGTTTGAGGCAGCCATTTTCCTTTACAGTCTTCTAGAGGCTTGTATATGGCAGCTTCTGAACAATTAGCTTAAGTTATGCTCCATAAATATTCAACAAATTTGCCCCTCCAGTAAAACCACGTTGATGATCTGCTTTCATGAGTTGTTAATCACATTCCACCCCTGCTGTGAGGGCCTGAATCAGCCATTCAGTACAGATACACTTAGTTTACAGATCTGGGGGTGAAAGCTGGTGTGCAGAAGGGTCAACAAGGGGCGTTTATCCAGAAGTGGAATAGCCAACATAGATTGCATTATTCTGCAGCGTAAGGAGAAAAAAGCTTCATGAGCTTTGCAAGCAGTCTTTCAGTGAAGACGGGCACTAATGATCCAAACTCCAAAGATTATCTTTGCTTTGTCCCTTCAGTAATGAGTGTGCATAGAAAGCAGAAGGCTTTATTAATAAAATTTAAGAGCTTTTTTTCATATTTTAGGTGAAGAAATGAGACTCGCTGATTTCTCTGGGATCTGACATAGTTTTCACTTAACCCTTCAGTTTTAGTTAATAGTTAAAGAAATAAAAAATGAAAATCAATTTTGTGGGCAGGAAAGGGCTGATGAAGCATACTAGATGTATGTAGTTGGGTCAGTCTGCACAATGAAGAATGATTTCTACTCGACTGGGTTTACATGTATATTGTCAATCAGCATCAGGTTTAGGTTCAAGCAAACCCTGAGCACAGGGGAGACCACAAAGTCCTTCATTCCAGTCTGCTAAGTTTTCTTATGTTCTTTCTTGAAAACCTTTTCTCACATGTCTAAAAAGAAATGTTGGTCTGCATTTTCTGTGATTCACAGGTTCCTCTAATCTGAGGAATTGCTATAATAAGGAATACTTTTGCTGAGGAAGTATCCGATAGATTACCTACCGTTACCTGTTTCAGTCTCCATAGAGCAACAGTGAGTCACTTTTAATTTTTTCTCTGCCTAGCAGGACCAGAGCAATTAAAGTAATAATTTCCTTAATTCTTTCTTTTTGGAGTGGTTTTCCCTTTATCAGGTCTATTGAAAAAAATGTGTTTCATTGGTCTATGTGAAAAAAAAGATCCTACTGCTCTTCCAAGCACACTGCTGCTGCCAGGCTACAATACTAGTCTCCAAACACTATGATACTATCTAGAGTTTGGATAAAGGATCTGTCAAATATAGTCAGCCATTTTTCAAGTAGTATTTCAAAGAATTTTGTTTACCCATTTCATTCAGGCACAGGAGAGGGACCTATGTAACTCTAGATCAAGATGTGAATACTTGGTGCTTTTCACTGGATGTTGTGATCTGTAATGGAAGCACCAGTTATTACTTTTGTTGTTTTGCTAACTCACAAAACTCACCTTCATGATTGACAGCAGTGCTGTATACTGAGAAGCATGGATACTGAAGTTGTATACTGAGACTCCATGAGGAATGGATTCCAGAACCACCCTGAGAGGGACAGATGCTCTTTGTAGAAGTGTCTTCCTACACAGGAAAGTAACAAGTGGAACTTAAGTGGAACTCTCTGACCATGAGCTTGCTTTCCCCCTTAAACTTTCACCAATGTTCAGCTTAAAAGTAAAAAAACTGTTGTGATTCAATGAGACCCATGAAAGACCGAGCTTATCTGGGACTTTGCAGCCACTACAGGCTGTACAACAATATTTAAGTATCTACTTAAGTAGGACTATGAGAAACCAGCCATTCAGCCAGTGAATCAAGCACCTCCATTGGTTTAGATAAATGCACTCAAACCCGTGGAATGATTTGTGAAAAATAATATTAGGTGGCTTAATTTTATAATTGAAGGTTCTGCTAAACAAAGTAACTATTTACTTAAAATAGATGGGGGAGGGATGTTTTAAAAATATTTATTGAATATTTTTATTCACAGCTGCAGAAGCTTTCTTTCTATTCTGTGATAGAAGAAAACACTGCTTCTTAGAAACCTTTAGATAGTACAAACATAATTCACCATTAATTTTCACAAAGTAGTTTGCAATGGCTGCTTTAAAAAAATTGTCACAAAACAGTATTTTAACAGTTATTGGATCCAGCAAAGAATTGGGAGAAAGTTCCACAAAAGAAATATAAATAAAGTTAAAAGAAAGCACAAATATTAGCAGTTTGCAGTTTTCCAATATTCACTAATACAGTGTTTTACAAACTGCACACTCTAAGCCTCCATTTGTTAAAATGCTTAATCAATTTGAAGTATTTTTCTCTGACAATGGTTTGAGCAAGTTAATTTACTTCTTTATGCTGAACCCAATTTAACAGATCATAGCTCCTACCCAGTTAATTCACTGACAGCAAAATTTCCCACTTCCAATAATATGATCCCCTTCTGAATTCACAGCAACTCCTGCTGCCTTACAGAAACCACTGCCACCTCTGCCAAATGCAGCCAGTAGTAACAGATACAGCCAGCTATAATTTCTATATTCAGAAAAAAAAATCCATTTAGAATTTAAGGATTTGTTTGTTTGAGTTAGCCAAGTTTACTTGTTTGTGGGGTTTTTTTGCTTCCTTCTGCTGTCTAAAGCACTAAGCTAGGCACCCAAATGGAATTCTCCTTTGAATGCTCCTTAGCCTGACTGAGAGCATGGGCTGCATTTTCACTACTGTGGGCTCCTACAGAAACAGTGCATTTAGTAAAATACTCCTGTGTTCACTGTGCTTTACTGCATTCCCTAAACTTCTTCCTCTGTGGCTCCAAAGGTAAGTCACAATCTCCCAACAAAGTTCAGGCTTGTGTTGAACACAGCAAAGCAAAAGATATGATCCTAAAGATATAGAACAAAGGTTATAACCCCAAAAGTCTCAGCAACTTACAGGGCAAGCTCAAGAATTGTTTCCAGTACTTGCTTTCTTCCTGCGGGGTTAACCAATGTGTTGAGGCTCCTGGTTGATTCTACAGCAAAGTACAAATATAAAAAAGCTACAAATATTTCTTCCAAATCACTGAACTTGACAATTTTTGTAACATGAGAGTCAGCAGATCTGTTGCATTAGTTTTAAAATACCCAGCCTGGGCAAATAGCAATGAAAAACAGATGTGTCAAAAGAGGAACAGGTGCGCTCATTTCAGGTTTTGTGCAGTTTGCCAGATAATATGAATTACACATTTTTTGAGTGTGAATGGGTCTATTTGGTTCTGCAAGGGCTTACTATTAATGAAATTAGTGGTCTGTAAAGACCTTTGGCTGTGAACACACCTGAATCAGATTTGGTTCTGAGCTGCTCTTTTGTCAGCCTAAACCAGACTTCTTTGTAAGATTTCATCTTGGTGTGCCACTGCCTTCTACTAAATGAAGCAAAGCAGAAAATTAGGTGCTCTAGCACTTCCCAGGATGCAAGTGGTTGCTGTCGTTTTCTGACTGCATGAGACAGGTATTTATACCTGTTGTTCAGCCTGTCATTTTTTCTGCTTCTATTTGGAAAGTTTCTGTTGGGTTATACCTTGGTCTGATATGCAGGTGGGAATGTTTCTAAAACCTCGCTGGGGAAGAAAGTGACTATGAAAGCTCTACTGTAAAATGATGGTACTATAATTCCTGGCAAGATAGTGGTTGTATTATTATAAACCTGCATAATGATTTTCAGCCTGCATGAAGAATGCAGTTTGTGAAAACATTGTAAGAAGTGAGTGAAACTGGAATTTTCATTATAGCCTGCAATGTTCTTTTCAAGTCCAAACTTAGCTACTGGAAGTGTTTGTAAATTGCACTGCCTTTAAATGCTGCTATTTAAATCAATAACTTTAATGTTACCAACTTCCACACAAAATGAATAGTGTGCAGCTAAAACAAGTAAGATCATTTTTGTAACTTAAAAAGAGGTACAAGCTTGGGTTCAGGTTTAGCATTCAACATGATAAAAACAATACCAACAATATTCAAAAACTAAGTACAAAAAGGGATGAAATTTCTGGGGAAAAAGGAGCTTTTCCTTGTTGTGTTATATTTGCTATGTACAGATGGCAATGCTTTTGAGAACACTCACATCTTGTTTGATATCCACTACACTTGGGTCTGTAGAGGGATTTTTGTATATATTATCAACCTACTTTGTATTTCAGAGACGCCTTTTTGAACTCAATTCTACCTAATAATATCTCTCAAGAGATTTTCATTGAGGGATGATTATGCTTTGTATACATACAGATGCTATCTTCTAATAGCTATCTGAATTAAATAAAATTTACATTTAATTTCTAAAATCCCCCATTTATTTGCTGGTGGAATAGTTTTTCTTTCTTGCACTAAAAAAGGCTGCTGTTTTGTCTGTTTATAGGCACTAAAACTGTCGGCGTGGTGAAACTGCACTGTGTTGGATCTTCACTGAGCATCTTTTTCTCTATTTTCATTTTTGTCGGCTGCAATATAAGGCTGTGAGTCTTTTTCAGCTCTGAAAAATAGACAGTATTTTGTTCAACACACATTATAACTAAACAACTTTTTCAAGTTTTGGAAAATTAGTTTATTGTAACAGTAATATTGTATTGTCTAAGGAGTGACTTATTTTTCTAAACTGTGGTTTTTTTCACATATTTATGAAATACTTCTGAGATTTCTGAAGTTGCATTGAATAAACAAAAGCTATCATGCTCCATGCAGTTTATCATGTCTGGACCTCTAAAAATCCTTTCCCCTTTTTACACCATGTAGAACTCTTTCTTCTATGTAGAAGACAGTTCATATTGGATATAGAAGCTATTACAAATAAATATTTCTATTTGTTGGCTATCGTTGTTGAAGTTCTAGATATCATAGAAAGGGGTTATAGATATTAAAATGTAAAGAGATATTTTTTTCCTCTTGCTTGTTTCTATGCAGCCACTTTTAGTGGCTCCTAAAATATTCATGATTCCCACACAAAATGCAAACTGTAAGAGGGACAATTTTCTGATTGCTTAATCACATGAACTAGACAAACACTTAGATTGTATCAATTCTTCAAGCAAGACGTCGTTATAATTAAAATAGCAGCCCTTGTTTTTTAGGATTTTAAGTCTTCTTGTAGATTACCATTTGAAAACTGCCATTCTCAAAGGCCAATTAAATTGCACTATTACTGCATTTCACAGCTAAATAATACCACAGCTAATGTAAAACTGCTTCTGAAGACCTCAAAAGGTGCCTTTAAAGCAAAGATTCAGTGCCTAAACATGTTTTCTCAGAAAAAACTTCTGCCTTCTGGCAAAGAAATGTATATCTGTAGCAGTAATGAAGGAACTGCATATATTACATACCAGGTAGCAAGTTACTTTATTAGTTGCTTTATGAATACTTTCTTCTTTTAATTTGGTTTGTTTTTTTAAAATTTCATTTACAGTTGCATGCAATTTAATTTTATGCACAAATCTTGATTTTCTTGTTGTTGTTGGGTTTTTGTTGTTTGCTTTTTGTGGGTTTGGGGTTTTTTAGGGGGTTTGTTGGTTTGTTTTTGGTTTTTTTTTGTTCTAGAACTAAAATCATACTGATGGTTTATTGAAAGGTGAGATGCCTTTTTTTGTTAAAAATTTATAGAACAGCCTTGGAATTCAAGATTTGGGATATCTGCTTCTCTCTTTAGGTTCCTACTCATAAAACTTAAACTGCATCATCACTTACAACTGGAAAACAACAAGGCCTAAAACATAACTCATAGGTGTATGTTGAAGAGTAATGTAGAACAGTTTTCTGCAAAAAGACACGAAAAGAACGAAATAAGCATTAGGTGCAATTCTCATTAAGCAGCTATGCAGATCATCAGGTAATGATATACAAAGAAAAGCTACACTGATTTTCCATTTGGTTGTCTTTTACTGCATCCCTGCAGTAACCTATTACAAATTTTTGATTAAATAAACTGGTGGTGACCTTTGGTACACATCACATTGTGATGGTTTATCACAGCTCAGTGGAAACAGTTCACAGGCACAGCTCCTAGGAATGGTTATCCCAGCTCCTTCTATGGAAGTTCTGGGGTATATTACACCCCTAAGGCTGCACAGCCATCAGGTGTGCAGAGTGACCTACTGCAAATCACCAGCAGGTTCCTCTTCTCTTCAGACCCCTCTTTTCTGCCTATGCTTCAGCCTTCCTCTCTGCACTCTTTCCAGTTCTGACTCCAATACTGGTCACACTTGTCTTAGTTCTTGCATCTGCTGCACACCTACTTGGAAAAGTGTGCTAACAGCACATCCAAACTGTTGACCTTCTCAACAGCTCTTTTATCCCAAATTCTTGGTGCCTTTGATATTCTATATTCAGAATCACAGCCAATCAGATAAAAAAATATAGTGTTTGTATTTTTTTAGGATGATTCATAGGGACACCATGGGTGTGAAATTTCACTTAAAAAAAAAGCCTTTAAAAGGAATACAAGTGAAAAATTCTGTGTTATTAAAGAACTCAAGGAATTTTTCACTTGTATTCCTTTTAAAGGCTATGTCATTAAAGAACTCATTCTTAAGGAGTAGAATTAGCTAAGCTTAGAAGAACAGACAAGATGGAAGAAAATTTCTCTGTGATATAATTTCAGAGTAGTGCAATTTTTATTACACTGGAGTTTTTTCTCACACCAGATTTTTTTCTGCTAGTAGTTTTTTTTCTTTAACTTTTATACTTAGCACAGCTGAATCATATTTAACATAGCTGAATCAGAATCCCTGGCATGGGGGAAGTGATCACGATCCTAGAAACGTGTATGAACCTCCACAGCACGTAACATGTTACAGACTCATAAAAGACATCTGCTACCAGTCACTTTTTTGAAGCCTGACTCACAAATACCCTAATAGTCTATCAAAATTAATGGCAGTTTGAAACAGATTATTGTTTAATCCTAGGGGTACTACAAAATAGTTTTCTAGCCTCACAGGCTTTTTCTCCTTCTATTTCATCTGTTTCACTTCTGCTCTTAATCCCATTCTTTCTCTTTTTTTAAAATTAAACATATTTTCTGTGTTAAATTTATTTTTTTTTGTGTCTGCTCCAATTTTCAACTTTCCTCTATTTCCTCTTCCTCTTCCCATATCTCTTTTAAGTTACCTTAATTGGCTATCAGACAATACCACTTCTCCCATCAGTATTACCTCTGCTACACTAAGATTGAGCCACTTTCAAAGAAAGCAGTCTTCTTTTTGATAATCCTTGACATGTACCTTATAAATCTTACTAATTCCTATGAAGATTTCCCAGAATTTTGACCAAACGTTTGCATACAATATATAAATACTAAATAAACAAATAATCGATCATTTAGTTACAGCCTGTCTCAAAATCCAAAGTTTTCTTCATCACCTAGAGTTAGTAGATCAATTTTAGACAAACATTTAGACTATCAGTTTCCACCCTCCCAGTATCCAAGCTAATTGCTCTCAAAAGCAGGGATTCAAAGCAGTGACCTCATGGGTAGGAAATAGAGGATATTCTTCTGCAGAGGAATGGCTGCTCTCTCTTAGCTGTCAGGGGCTGCCCTGCCTCCTATCAGATCATAGTCCCAAGAAGTTTCTGTGTTTCACAGCAACACAGAGATCTACTTCCCCATGGGTTTTCCCAGATAAATTAATTACCAAATAGACAACCATATACACAAAACAAGTGGAATGTTATAATTTGGCCTAATCTTATTCCCTGCATGTTTTATGTTGCAGGCATCTCACCCTATCTGCCAAACTGTCCTCTGCTGAAGAAAAACCAATGGTCCCAGGTGCTTGCACAGACATCTCAGGTCCTTCATGAACAAACTACTCACAGAAATGTTCTGCATCTTATGAGAGACAAAAGTGTATCATTCATCAAAAATGCTTGCTTTGGCTAAATAAGATTGAAAATGATAATTCAATCTGCAGAGTACCTGACGTGTTGATTTGTAGAACAGATAAACTGACAAGGCACTCATCGGTAAGTTAGGAAAGATTCACATCACTGTTCGAACTTAGCCACCTCAAAAGTCCTGAATGGGCTGCAAAATCTTTTATTTTGTACCTGAAAGGTACACAGAAAAAGTGATTTCTCCACTTCATGTGAGAATTCAATGGGTCAAGACATTAAGCCATCAAAATGTGCACACTTGCTGCAGTGCTTTTTAAACAGCACAGCTCTCCATTGCATTTAGGAAAGCTTGTATGCAAGATGCATATTTGGTGACAATGACATTCAGATGGATTTTTAGTTTTCTGAAGTATCCTTAATAATAGGTACGTATTACTGTCGGTGGCATTTGATTACTCTTTATTTGCTTTTCTTCATAAAACAGTATTTTGAAAAGGCTTGGTTTCTATGTAATATTTCATATACGTACATTTTACTAAAATATATATTTTGACAAATAGATAATTTGCTGCAAATGCCTAAAAATATCTTCCATCCTGAAGAACCTTTCATTTAATATATTCCTGATAGTTCTTTATTGGCTTATAATTATAAAGTATTACAGCCTTATGTTTTCTCTTTTTTTCATACTTTGGATTTTTTATTCAACTTTAATATTCCTCTAAGCTCAGAATTAATAATTATTTTAGTGAGGGGACACACTACTAGATACTATAATGAATGTAATATGTATTTCCAGGGACCAACTGAAAAGTAGTGCTCACCAAAGTGTAAAAACATCATCACAGACAGTCCCTGTTCTCAGTAGTTTTTCTCTGACTGGTCAGATAAACACAAAAAAAGAAAGTATGACGTGCAAGTAGACCAACCAACACACTATTAATTTCAACCTGATTCATAAAGAATGCAAACATACATATGCAGTCAGTTGTAAGAACTGAGGTTTACTGAAGAGAAAATAAAAGGAAATGTGAGCAGAGGGAAGTGAACAGAGAAGGCAAAGACAGAAGTGACAGGCATAAGGAGGGGAAAAGGATAGGACAAATTACCAGTCCCTTGGCGACCAGACAAAATAACAAAAAGACCAGTCTAAGAAGATTCCCAGAGATCTGATGCATTTCCACACAGGCATAGTAGTATTTCATCTGATGCAGGAAATCCACATTGAGTCAAAGAGAATCCTTTATGTACATATGCACTTTCTCTCTTGGCCTGAGAGATTATACAAACTCCACACAGATGGTAACAGAATGCTTAAACAGCAGCAACCTGGGAGCAGAGCTGTTAAAACTATTCTCTACTACAAACAACATATTGCCAAGCAATGCCAAGGGGATGCAGCACAATTTTGGGGCCTGGCTGGACTCTTTGACCCCTGTCACAATGATTCTAGCCGTTTGGGCAGCACAAAAAGGTGTTGCCCCTGGTAGCTATCTGGAGAAGTATGGGAGAATCCAAGAGATTTGTTCCACCTGCCCCATTCCATCTCAGTGGACTAGGTTTGCTGGCAGTGAGCCATTACCTGGCCTTTGTCAATCCCAGATAAGTCTGTGATTTAAAGACACAAGCTTTTCCCTTTCTCAAATCCTGTATCAGCTTTTGGCTGCCCCCAGGCAGCTGACTTTAATACTACTTAAAAGACATCTGTTTTCTAAGGCTTATCTAGTTCAGTAGAAGTTTTGTTGGTTTTATATTGATACCAAGTAGAGCTCCTTGGGATACCTTTCATGTTGTGAAACAGTAATTTGTATTTGCAACTGCTGTTTACCTCTGTACGGAGATCAATATCTGCTGTATTTTGCCCTCTTAATTCACAAAATATGAGTTTAGAATGCAATCTTTTATTATCTATTCCTCCTAACAAATCAATGTTCATATGTAATATCAGTCTCCCTTATTCAGGTTTAAAATCTGTGCCTTTGTAGGCTTTTTTTCCTTCTGGTCAAATAGATAAAATTCTGAAGTTGCTTTATTAGGAGGATGTAACACAGTTTGTAGCAGCAATCCAGGCTTTTCTTTGGATGGTTTAACTATCCTTTTCTGTAATAAGCAAATAGAATACAATATATCCAATAGCAAGTTGGATTTAAGTATCAAAGCAATGACCCTAACTGATCTGATAAAAAATTTGCAACTCTCTCCAAATTTCAGGTAAAACTAAAGCTGTTATCAAAGAGTTAGAAAGTTATATTATATAATATTAATATAATATATATTATATTATATTAAGTCCTTAATACCCTAGAGATTTGTTAATTGTTCAAGCTTCACACCATAACCTTTCTACAATTTGAATAAATATCAAATTATCGTCATTTATGTAATTTTTACTTCCTTTTTTTTAAAAGACTATTGTAACTCAGTTTCTTGGATATCATATTTATTCATGGTATTTCCTGGTTAAGTGAGTACTAAAAATGGGCGTGGAAAAAAAAGTTTTAGGAATCATGGAATAATAGCAAAGGCCACTTGAGGGTGGCTTTGAGAAAAGTGTGATAACTTACTGAAATCCTTTCCACTATGCTTTTTTTTGCCGGCCAATGTATTCCATTCCCTGGTGCTTGACACATAAAAATATTATAAGAAAGCAAATTTATTGGACACAGACCTCTTTGAAGAAATTAGATAACACTAATCAGATAAAGTGTTTCTAGTGATCAGTGGGCAACTCCTGAGGCCATATTTCAGACTGTAGATGATTTTGGGGCTGACTATCAAGTAACAATTTTCCCTCACAGCTGCAGCAACTCATACCTGTTATTAATAAAAGACAGACATCCCAAGCAGAGTTTTTCACTAATTTTCTGTCTGTTTTTTCTAACTTAGTCTATTAATATCCGAAATGCTGGCATATAATTTAGCTTCTCCAGCACCTTTTGCAAAACATTTGTAATTCATAAAGGAAGCCACAAATAGAAATTTGGGGTTGTATCCTGAACTTAAACGATCAAGAGTTTTTGTTGATAAAGAATGTCACTGACAAGAGTAGATCCATATTAATTTGCTTAGCCTTTCTAAGGCACTTTGGGTGATATTCCTCTCACCTAACTTCAGGAATTGAAATATTATTTTACTATATTTCTTCCTTGTGTAACTAATTAGATGAACTGTACTTTGGAGGCACTAATCTCTCTCAAATGACTCATAACATGACACTGCCTTTACATGCTGATTCAACCACATACAATTATTTGAGATGATCTACTAGATCACAAATATAGACTATGTATAATTGTTACCCACTTGTTGGATGGATTAGTTGAGATTGATCTCAGTACTGGAATCTACTAGTGGATTCTACTACAACTAATAGGTCATCAATATAAAATATACATATAAATCTTACCCATTTGATGGAAAGATTCTCCATAGATGTTTTGCAAAACAAAAACACAAACAAACAAACAAAAAAGTCCTTCAATAAGACAGCAGAAGTGTCTCTTGATTAAGTCAGTTTTGTCAGCGAAATTTCTTGCCAGAAAATTTGAACAGCACAATGTGATGTCTTTCACAGAATGGTTGCTTCATCTAGTTGATGCGGGAAGACTTTTAGACAGAGGAAAATATTTCAAGGAATATTAAGACAATTGCAAAAATATATTCCCTTTACACATGTGTGTGTTTAGCATATTTTTGGTCTTTTTTTTTTAACAAGCATGCTTATTCAAAATGCTATTTTCTCAGCTTCATGACAAGAAAAATACTGTATATAATTACATGTTAGAAGCAAAGGAGGGTTTCAATTGATTTAATTTATTTATATCTCTCTTAATCCTATTTCATCCATTCAGTTTTATCACCTTTCAGTCTCTGCTGCTGTCTGTTATCACCACAGCCCTGAACCTCCCTCTGTCTGGTTATAACCACTGTAGCCTTTTTATTTCTGACACTTAGCTGATCCTATCCTTCAAAACTTCTATTCTTCACTGAATGTAATCTGACCAGTTAACTTTTATATATCTGTTCCTTTACTCCACCGTCTCTTTTTACCAGGGTGTTGAATATCTCATGTTTGCTTCTTCACTTTGACTATATGCTTCTTGCTTTCTGTGGACTGAAGTAGGTTCAAGGCAGACAAATAGCCAGTAATTTATGTACCATTTTCAGTGTTTGCTTTAGATATGGTATTATCTGATAACAAATAGAGTGACATTTATTGGGGTTTTTTATTCACAGGTTTTTCTGTCGTCTCATGGAGATAGCTGTCTTCATGACAGAGTAGTAACTTGTCACTATATCATCCCAGGATTCAATATCAAAGCCTTGCACTGATCAGCTTTTAGAGCAGGCTGAATCTGATGTCAGGTACATTTTGATAGGTCACAGATTACTTCATCTAACCTGATGCTGCTAGTGGCAAGCTCAAAATGAGACTGTGCTGCACCTTCCTGAATAGTCATACTGTGTGCACAAAACCTTTGTCCTTTTCACTCACAAACATTGGAACTCCCTGGAGAGGAAATAAAAAATAAAAAAAAAAAAAAAAAAAACAAACAAAAAACCAACCAAGAATAGATAGCGAACTATGTACTGTTGGTATGGAAAGAATGGAAAAATAGAGTACTGGCCATTGGTCCCGTGAAAAAAAAAATCCATCAGACAAAAAGGAACAGAGAGTAATATTTTTGGGTTTTTATCATTTAGGGAAAATGTGATTTCATATTACACTCCTAGGAGTAGAAATAAGAGTAATTTAAGAAAAAAGTGTGCCTCATAATTTCTCATAAACTTCAGCAGAGCTTCAGAAAACACAATGCATTTTCTGTGCAATTATTACAGCATTCCTCAGTGAAATTCTCCCTCAGGAATCTTCATTTTTCAATGGAACAGAGTTAAGATGATATTTACATAAAGAAAGCAAAACTATTCAGAGTTATTTTGCAGGAATTATCCAATGGTCCAGATGTAACTTA